CCAAGCAATCAGCCACTCCTCTTATTCTAAGATGATTTATAATCATTTGTCGGATTCGTGGGATGCTAATAAGTCCTATAGACTGTTGAATGCTTGGCATCCCCCTCCACCCGATTGGTTAAAAATCAATGTAGATTCTACTCTTTCTTCTTCATATGGAGCAGGAGTTTGAGGTGTTATTAGAGACTGCAAAGGAAGATTCCTTTGGGCTTTCGGGAATACGTGTATCCATTGGGATATATATCAATTGGAACTCTTGGCAATCAAAACATTGAAGAATGTTATCAAAGATTGGATATTCAAGTACAAAGGAGCAATTATTGAGAGCGACAACTTCAATGTCATAAAGGCTATTCAAGATGCTAAGGATCATGGACTCAAATATCAAGATGAGTTAAACTTCTTTAATGATTTTAATTATGTTATTATTAAATGCATCTCTAGAGAGGGAAATAAACAAGCGGATCTATGTGCTAGTTATGGTATCCTTACTAGCTTCATTTGGGAAGACATTAATTTGGACAAGATTCCTCCTTCATTTGTTCAATTGGTGAAGGTGGAATCATGTTTGTAGTTCTTTGCTTTTGCTTCTTTTTAATGCATCCATGCTTTCTATCAAAAAAAAAAAAGCAACTGAACAAGAAATTTATTTATAGTAAGTATAGGGATGGGCTCATGTACCATGGCGCTCAACAAGGTGGCACTATGATAGTATAAAATGAGCCAGTGCTCAACTTTGTAAGGCTTACTCTATTACTGAGATGGCTAATCGAATATGGTTAATGGGTGAATTGGCATGTCTTAGATGAGTTTCCATGGATTTTCATCTTGACAATTTCTCCACCATGATGCTCCAAAATTTGAGTGTTGCGGTGCTTGAATGTGACTTTTAGCACTGAGGCATTGTAAGACTCAACGCTCTAATGCTTATTTTGCTAAGGCTCCAGTACTGAATTTGGACATAATGATGTCGTTCTACACTGCTATACTGGCCTTAGTGTCAATACAGAGTTAGAAAATAGAGAATTTGACTGTAATTTATGAAGGCACCTTAGCATTGATGATAATAATGCCATGATGCTTTATCTAATGACACTGCAGCGTTGTTCAACACTTATAGTATTTTTCCTTTAATTTCTTATAAATTTTTTACACAAACACAACTAAACAATATATTTTTATTGAATTTAAACATAATAAATAGTATATAATTTACACTTAACAAATTCCCACTAGCTTAAACTTTTTCTTATCAACAAATTATGGTAAAAATCACCTACTGATTACTTAATAGCCAAAGCAAAATTAATACTTTAATATTATTAAAATATAAAATAATACAACATAGTCTATAAGTAATTTAAAATGAACAATGTTATAATTCTAATATAAAAACTCATAACAGTTATCCCAATAAATCACCTTTATTATTGCTTGTACTGAATCTATCCACTATTTAAGTGTAAAATTGACATCAAAATTAAGAAATGAATAATATAACTTAGGAATTAGTTGTGCTTGTAAAGTAAAAGTTTATTAGTGCACAATCATATGTGCTAGTTCACTTTCCTTGTCCCTTTTTATTTAAGTATTAGGATGCATTTGAACTTAAGCTTCAAATGATATAAATTTTTTGCACGTACTCATATTTTTCCTTTTCACATATCTCTTTTAGAAATTTTCAAAAATTTCATTCTTTCATAATTTAGGGAGAAAATATTTAATGATTTTGAATATCATATTTCTTTCATCCTCTTGCATTCCTAATTTGTTTAAAGTAAGGATTCAATAAGATCACTAATTTCATTTTCATGTTTACTATAATTTTCCCAGTTTATGCTACCTGCATATTTTTATTAAAGTTAATTATTCATTTTTTAATTCAGTATTCAATATATTAGTATATAGCTTCTAAATTCAAATCGAGTCAATAGATTTAGTGATCTATATTACTTAATTATTAAGATTTTCAAATTTTAAATTAATATGTATTATTCATTCAAATTAGCATCTAGGATTTAATATTTCAGTATTCAATATATTAGTATATAGCTTCTAAATTCAAATCGAGTCAATAGATTTAGTAAGGATTAGTATAAACCCTAAACCCTAACCCTAGAGTCACAATCCTCCTCCTCCTCTACCTCCTCCTCCTCCTCCTCCTCCTCATCATCATCATCATCAGGTTGGGTCCAAAGAAAGCACTGGTATTCTGAAGTAGTAGAGAACTACTGCTAGTAAGGATTCTCCACAAAGGGACTCCTCCTAAATATCCCTACCAAAGCCTCATTGAATTCAGCTTAGAAGTGATACCTCTTTTCCAAGATACAAGGGTAATGAGCCTGCCACCCCTACTCTCCTCACAAAATTTAGTCACTAAATCCATCCATCCTCTCTCTCTCTCTCTCTCTCTCTCTCTCTCTCTCTCTCTCTCTCTCAATTCAACCACTTGATCTTCTATTGATTTATAAGTCCTTGAACTCCTACTTCCACTACTATGGAGGGCCTACTATATGATATGGGCTCACTAGGACCTCCGTCTTCATCACCTCATCCTCCCTTTTTAAAACTTAAGGTTTCCTTTTAGCAAGAAAGAAATAAGAAAAATTTGTTCCTCAGTTTGGTTCCCCCTCAAACTAATATTAACACACAAGTAATAAATTAGAGAAAGGTGCCCAAAACCCACAAAAGTAGTTCCTCAAGTCATTTAAGTCAAAGAAGAGTAAATGAGTTTTCCTACATCTATTGAGAAACCCACCTGAATTGCATGGAAAATAGAACACGGTCATGAGTTATTTCTCTATTAATTCTACTTGGCTAAAGATGAGTAGAAATAAAATAATTCCAAGCATTAGAAGTTCGGGTAAGAAAGGATACATGAAAATTAATAAGTTTAATTTCTCTCTTCTTCCAACTCACTCCACTATTGAGTCCACACAACATTTACAAGATTTCATATTAGGATTAATTGGTGTTCCAAAAAAAAAGCAATATACTCTTTAAACTCAAGATTTTGAAGCTTATAGAAGTGACTAATTGAAATAGAACCAAAAGGTACCACTTACCCCTCACATAACACTTGTTTTCAATTTTTTCTTTCCTATTGGAAAAAAAATTCTCTTATCTTACCTCATTCACTATAGCAGCAAAGTGCTCTTATCATAAATGCTCCCAACCTTGATTTTAAATGGTTTACATAATTGGGACTCTTGGGTTTTAAAATCCATGCTCTAGGATTAACTACTTGTTAACCAATAACTCCCCAAATCTTGACTTAGCCTGAGTAAATATGAATTTTCTATTATCATAGGAGGAGGAAGATCACTTTTTCCCAAACTTTTTAGGACCCCATTTTACACAATAAAATATAGAAAAAATTGAAGATTGAGGACAAAAGAAGAGTGGAAATGTAGTGAAATAATTAAAAAATATGGGTTCCTATTTAAAAATAATATGAGTGCTACAACACTAAAGAGATCAATATTGTAGTGCTAAAAACATAAAATGAAAAACACTACAGTGGTGTAGGACTTAAGGTTATGTGGTGCTTCCCATTGGAAATTGAAGTGCCAACTTTTTGACTAGGAAACTACTACATTGTTTGACTCATGAGTGTCGATGTGTTACTAATGATTGCTGCCATAGCAATTTAACTGAACTAATGATAATTTTTACTTAAAATTGTAGCGCTTGTAATAGTCTCGTGGTGATCACCAAAGAATTTTCATGAAACACTTATGATAGCATTGTTGATTGATTGAACTGCCACAAATATTGTAGAAATAATAAATATAACATTGTAGCATTTGAAGAGGTATCACTGAGGCACTTAAGAAGGTTCTCACAACATTGCGGTGTCAAAAAAAAAAAATAATATTGCGATAGTGCAATATAGTGAATTTTTCTAAGAGCTCAGTGCTATGATGATAGTTTTGAATGCAACAATACTTAAAAATAAACACTACCACACTTTAAATCTTTATTTTGCTGTGCTAGCTCAATTTTTAGCATGGTAAATGTTTTCTCAATAAACATATAGCAATTTAGTCAAAATCAAGAATTAATAACAATTACAAGAAATATTTCACCAACATGTATAAAAAAATGAAATAAATCATAAAATATAACAAAATAAAAATGAGATACCTTCCAAGTAGCGCTATATTTATAGTCTTCAACTCGACTTGCCAAGATTTGTAAATTTGGTTGTGATGCATCATTACGACTCCTTAAGTGGTTTTCTTTAAGATCCTTTACTTTTTACTTAGGGTTCATTTTAGTATTATTGGGAAATGAACCAAGGGGTCTTTTACTAAAAGAAATTAAAATCTATCATAATTAATATTTTAAAATTATTATTGAAGCAACTTGACTTTGTTCTTCAGTTCCCAATTGAATCACTACCCTTTCCAAAGGTATATCTTTATCTTTGAACTGATTGTTTTGATTAAAACTTGGGTGATAAGAAAGTCCACGATTCAATATAGATTGTTGAGGATTATTCTAATTTCTTCTTTAATTAGATTGATCTGTATTCTACTAATTATTACCACCAACATTATTATTATACCATTTAAACTAGGGAGGTTCCACCAACCTGGATTTTTTGTATTAAAATAATTATTTTTTTCCTTTCAATCAAATTTATATTTTTAAACCCTAGAGCACTATTATCATAATTAGAATTAAAATTATGCTCTTCTAATTGCATAGATGATCTTGATCCTGAATTAACTCCAACAATATCCAAATTCTTTTATATTGTAGCTACCTAAGCTATAAGAATTGACAAAGCATCATATTCATAAATTTCAGCTACTCTCTTAGAATTAACTCTATCAATAGGCCACTAAAACTAATTTGTACCCATTTTCTTAATTAATTTGAATGCTTCCCCAAATTGCATAGGCATTAAATATCTTGCAGCTATTACATCTATGATTAACCTAAGGGATTATATGAATCTATTGTAAAAAGTCTAAATAACCAACCAATCTGGTAAATCATGAGGGCATTTCTTAAGCATTTCTTGAAATCTCTCTCAACTTTAATAAATTTACTCTCCCTTAATTTATGCAAAAGAAGTGATATCATTTCTAAGTTTGGTAGTTTTTGAAGGTGGGAAATATTTAATGAGGAATTTTTGAGCCAACTCATTCCAAGTGGTTATAGAGCCTGCAGGTAATGAATTCAACCACATCTTAGCTTTCTCCATTCAAAAAAGTGAACAATCAAAATCTAGCATCATCACTAACACTATTCTACTTAAATATTGCACAAATTTTTAATAAACTAGCTAATTGTAAGTTAGGATATTTAATAGGAGTTCCCCCAAATTAGAAATTTTAAACCATTTGGATTATAAAACGTTTTAGTTCAAAGTTATTGGCTTGGATAATAGGTATATTCATACTCTGATGAATTCCTTCTACTAAAGAGTTTGCATACTCCCTAAGAGGTTTAGAATGATTCTGAATTTACATTGGTTCATACATTTCTAAATTCTTTTTTATTTTTTGGAATTTTTGTAATGGTCGTTTCTATTTTTTTATTCAATAATAAGATCTCGTTACTAAATCTACCAAGCATGTAATAATAATGAAATAACTAAAAATAAAAATTAAAAGATAAAAAATAAACCAAATATTTTTTGGTTTTTTCAAAATTTTGCAAAAAAAAATTAAAATAGAAGATACAAGTAGGACTAAATATGCACTTGTCTCAATAATATAGCTAAAATTGTAATAACACATTTCTTCCTTAGCATTAGTGCCATAAACTTATGTGGGGATTGAATTGGTCCTTGCTTTGAGTTGTTATGGAAATATGCTTTGGTTTTCTTTTATATAAAAATAATGAAAGCCCACTAAAATATGCAAGTATACGTGTCGATCTTGTAATAACTTATTAAAATAAAATGTTGATCCAATAGGGAAGTGTTCTTCTTAATTGTAATTAACTGTTATTTAATTCAAATGCATAATTTATCGAGCTAAGTGATTTTAAGTGATTTTTTCACTTAAAGAAAACTTGCAAGAATATTTGATACCAATAAAGATATTTTTTTTTACTAATAAATACAACAACGTAATTTTCCTTTCATTAAAGATAAAATTTTTTGAACTCTTAATTCTAAATGTGGATCAGAACAAATTTATCCCTAGATCTCTGTCAAGCTTTTAGGTTGAAAAGAAAGGTTTATGACCTTCCTACAATTTTATTATCTCTATATAACCTAAATTATTTAAACATGAAATATCTAGGCATGCCAACATTTCATTTCAGTACTCCTAATTATTCAAGCATACATCCATTGAGGCTATATATCATACTAAATAGTAACTATAAACATAGCCACTATATGCATTAAATGAAGAATGGGAGATATTAAAAATATCTATATATTCATTCAATCACAAGAGTCTACATTAGTACTTACTATGCTTTTACATCATTAGCTAAAAATTAGAGAATTAACCAGACATGGAAGATACAACAAAAAAACTAATTTTGATTTCATTCATTAAAAGAAGTGATTCAAGAGAAGTAATAAAAAAATTGTCACCTGGAAGAATCAATTGATCTTCTATACACTTATTTTTTCTCCAATAATATAGTTCTCTCACAAGATAGGCTAAGATATCCCAATATAAGTATCTTGCACTTCCCTAGTTTCCCTTAGACATTACTCTAAGTGGTACTAGGAAACACACTTAAAATTACAAATTTCTCCTTAAGTGACACAACTCTCTAAATAACTAAACCAAAAAAATAGTTGTAGTAAGTACAGTGATGGGATCTGGCACCGCAATGATCGATATGGTGGCACCGCGGCGGTATAAAATGAATTAGTGCCTCAGCATTGTAATGCTTACTCCATTGTGGTGCTGGCTGACCTAGCATGGTTAATTATTAAACTGGCACATCTTTTGGTTTAGTTAGCGTGGATTTTTTATCTCAACAACTACTCTTATGTAGTGCTCCAGAATTTTAGTGTTATATTATTTGGATGTGATATTAAGCATAGAGGCATTGTAAGGCTCAATACTCTGATGCTCATTTTTTAAAAGCTCTAGTCACGCGATGCTAAATTTTGTTGTGATAGCCCTATCTTACACCATGATGCTAACCTTAGTGTATCTTTGGCATCGGAAAATAGAGAAACTAGCACTGTATTGTCTAAATTAAGTACCTTAATATTGATGATCATAATTTTGTGGCGATGTGTTTGATGGTATTATGGTGTTGTTCATCTCTTGTAGTTTTTTTTTTTTTTTGGGCCTTTTTCTATACATTTCCTACATAATCATAACTAAATAACATATTTTTATTGAAATTAACTATAATAAACAATAGATAATTTACACTTAGCATAAACCCTCCCATTTCTCTTATCCTCAAAAGGCTTATAATACCTCCATTAGATCTCCATGGCTTTTATAACAAGGCTCCACAAAACTCTCTACCCAGAGCTTAATTTGCTACTGAGAGGAATACAAAAATATGATCAAAGAAATAACTATATGTGAATACTCACACAAAGTTTTAGAAGAAATTACTTCAAAGCTTTCCATAACATCTCTTCTCTCAATCCTCTCAAAAAAACTCATACAAATCTATGAAAAATTCTCTCTGAAAGCTCTCAACACACCTGAGAACACCTCACTCTCATTGGCACATGTTAGGGTTTCTTTGAGGTTAAATATATATAAGTGGCACCCATAAAAACCTTAAAAGGCTCATTAATAGAATTATCAACTTGATCATGAAGTCTTATCAATATATCATATAGTTCAATTAGTACAAATTTCATGAGACCATTAAAATTATTTTTTGTTCATTCATAATGTATGATTTAAATTTTGCAGTATGGTTAGTTTAACTTCCCAAAAAATAAATTAGGTTGATATGTATGATTAAAAATGTACCAATATGCCCTCTTTTTTTTTTTTTTTTTTGAATTGTGTGATTATTTTCATATAGTATGTTAATTTTTATATTAAAGTTTTAATTTTAGTCCTAGATTTTTGGGTCTTAAATCTCTTAGATAATTGCATAATAAATATTAATCATACAGTATGATATGTTCATATTTGAATTAACTTATTATAGTAATTGTAGATAATTATAGGTTTATATTTGAATATAATACATCATACAATTTGACATGGGCCATACATACATTAGGATTAGTTTTACAAAATTTAATTTATAGTTTTTTTATTAATACAACTTATTTTTTTTCAAAATTATCAGTATGTCAGGAATATCATAATGTTCAATCCAAGTCCATAGTATAAGATTTTAATAAAAACAATTTTTTAAATTAATTTCAAAAATTTTAGTTTTGACCCATCTTACTTACGTCTGTGTATGCTTGGTTGTTTAGCCAATCACATACATGGGAGAATTGTAGGAAGATTCAAAATAAAAAAGAAAAAAAAAATTATAATTTTTAATTCTTTAGCATTCTTCTTTTCTTTGATGGTTTTATATCTTTAATTTAGCTTATCATGCTTTTGTTATGACATCTCGTGTGTGTGCCTATTATCATATGGCTTTCATTTGCTGATTTATTTAAAATGTTAGTTTAAACAAAAAAAGAGGCTTTCACACACAAATTCATTAGCTTACTTTTCTCAACCAATAATTTTTGTGATAATCAAAACTCTAGTAACTTCACCAAGCTAATATAGTCCAACAATAGGCATTTAAATGTCTTTAATCTTTTTCAAAATTTAAATTACACCTTTTGATCATAGCATTAATAAAATTATAGATGGTTACTCAATGACATGGCCTACCATATTTGAAGGAGACCCTTTGATTTTTAAAATTTGAAGTGATGATGTCCTCACAATTGTGTGCATGTATGTTTGGAATCTCATTCTATAAGGCTACAAAATTTCTATCGCAACCACTGATGGCAAGGATGTTTTATTACATAAGAAAAGAGTGGAGCCCTATTAAGCTTTAAATAGGTTTACTTAAGAATATGAGGGTTAAGGCTCTTTATTTTGCACAAAATTATGATCAATACATGAAAATTTATAACTTATGAATAAGTTAAAAATAATAATATGCTATCAAATAATCACGTCATACAAATGCACCGATGAAGTATAGCAAACATGTATTGACATTGACGAATGAGTTTGAAATCTTTAAGATGAAATGGTGTAAGAGCATTATAAATATGATCAAATACTTCATTAAAATAATCAACTACCATAAAAAACTTGGCAAGATACATACATATCATGATCAAGTAAATAAGATCTAAGACTTTCTACTAAAAGAAGTGGATACTAAGGAAACCACCATTTTTTAAACTTGTTATTTGAATTTTATCTAATTAACCATTTACATGGATCCCTATAACACATGAATATAAGTTAGCTTAATAAATGATGAATGGGAAAAGTTAAAAAAAAAAAAAAGAAATTGTTACACATGAATGGCCTAACATGAGTAGAAGTGACTCATTAGACTCAACAAGTAATAAAGATGAGATCTCCCAAAGATTCTTAATAAAATTTAACAAATACAATGCAAAAGGTCAAATAAAAAATTTCAAAATAAATTAAAGACTAACATCACAAGTGAAAAGGACATTTTGACTCATATACCTCGCCACCTTTGAATTAAAAAAGGAAAAATAAATGCACATCTAGAAAGGACAAGAAGTTTTTTAAGATGACTTTGGTTGATTCAAAAAATGAAGAAAGATCAAACAAGTCATTCAATCAAGAAGTGTTGAACAACTATTTTTTACTTATTAATGATCATGTGGATATGGTAAATGATATGTCCTGTGGCGACTTGCATGATACACTTATTATTATTAATTATATTTTATCTAAATTAAAGAAGAAATACATTACATTAAAAGTAGTACTGGTATCCATAGTAGTAGTAATAGTTAGCACAAAGAAAGAAATATCTATCTCTTTTCATATAAAGAATTAATTAGATTTATTCTTTTGAAAGAGAAGTAAATAGAAAAATATTCAAAATTTTGATGAAGAATGTAATTTTAAGCTACTTGAGCCCACGAAGCCAAAGAAAGTGAAATGGCGTGATTAGCATAATTATTATCATTAT